CTCCCTGCTTCCTTGCCACCAGTCCAGAGGAGCCACCACCATTGTCTTGTGGATTCAGCAGCAGCCACCATCCTGGGGGCCCAGCTTCTACTTTGCTTCAACCTCTCTCGGTGCCCTTGATGTAATAGCCAGAGGGCCGCTTGGTAGGACAGAAGTCAGAATATATACTACTTCTCTGTCTCGTGGTACAACGGCAAGCACCTCCTGTACTGAGCTTGTGACTCAAGCCCATTGACCTTAGTTAGATTCCCGGAACCTGTTGTGGAAGGAGAGAAATGACTCCAATAATGATGATAATAACAATAATAAAAGGGTTTTTTTTAATCTCAAAGCAGAACCTAAAAGTTGTTATAGCAGCTAGGCGCAGGCCTTTAATCCTAGCACTTAGGAGGCAGAGGCGGGCGGATCTCTGTGAGTTTGAGGCCAGCTTGGTCTACAAGAGCTAGTTCCAGGACAGGCTCCAAAGCTACAGAGAAGCCCTGTCTCGAAAAAAAAAAAAAAAACAAAAAGTTGTTATAGCAGCTTCCATGCTCCAACACACAGGACTCCCTCTTCTCATTTCCTGCCACAGCCGTATTTTCCCAAGCTTCTAGGCACATGATCCTTTCCTACTCTTAGAACACATTGGGCTTTGGCCTACCTCATGCCTTTTAAGATATTAGCTTCTCTACCCATCCTTCCTACTAGCAGGGGACACAGGGCAGGAATCTTTTTCTTGTTTGCTTGTATATTAAAGGCATTTAGAATAGTGTATGTCACACAGTAAGTGTTTGCAACTTTTCCTTCTAGCTCTTTGAGACAAGGTATCACCGAGTAACCCAGGCTGGCCTTGAGCTCTCCATTCTCCAGCTTCGTTCTCCTGAGTGCTTGGCTTACAGGTGTGTGCCATCATGCCCAATCAACGGAACACATTCTGAACGCGTGAGGTCACCAAGGCCTCTCCAGGTCCCAACATGGACCCTGTTCTGCTTTAGGGTAGGGCAAGAAGATGCTGGAGTGATGATAGTGTGGCAGGCAGAGGGCCTGGGGCCTAGTGGTCAGCTGCCACTTTCCCTCACTTCCTGTCGTGTGATTCACCAAGGATGGACTCCCTGCCTGGGGCAGGAAGGGTTAAAGGAAGTCTGAGTTTCCACCCAGAGTCAGCCCCGTGCTTCAGAGGTGCCCACACCACTTCTTACTCTACCCAGAAACACTGGCGGGTTTGGAGTCCTCCACCCAACCCTCTTCACACAGCAGCAGATTAAGGCGAAGTAAGGCTCAAGGTCACTTATTGAGGCTGGTTCTAGAAGTTGCTCTCCTTAGAACTCAGGCCTACCTCATTGCAAGTCTTGCTGGGTAAGGCCGCCCACCTGTATCTTTCTGAGGGAAAGCAGGTGAGCAAGCAAGTGAGCACTCAGTACCATTCTTGTCATGACAGATGTCCCACTGACCTGGCTAACCGTACCTGTCAACTTGACAATTAAGGAGTAATATTAATTGGGGGAATTGCCTAGACTAGGTTAATCTGTGGACATGTCGTGAGGGATTATTCATTTATATAGAAGAGCCCATCTCACTGTGGGTATTGCCATCCCTTGGCAAGAAATCCTGGGCTGTACTTTTTCAAAAGCTAGCTAAGCAAGAATGAGTTACCCAGGCAGAAAACGAGCCAGTAAGCCGCAGTCCCGGGTGCCTTGAGTTCTTGCCCTGACTTCCCTCAGGGATGGACTGTGACCTGGGAGTGTAAGTCAAATACACACTTTCCTCCCCAGGTTTTTTTGTTTGTTTTGTTTTTTGAGACAGGATTACTCTGTGTAGCTTTGACTGTTCTGGCATTCTCTTTGTCGATCACGGAGATCTGCCTGCCTCCGCCTCCCCAGTGCTGGGGTTAAAAGTGTGCCCCACCGCCCGACCTCAGGCTGGTTTTGGTTATCACAGCAGCAGAAAGGAAACTAGAAACACCCACACATCTGGGGAGAAGACCCGCTGTGCCCTGAGCTCACGCGTGAGGGGTGACATTGTGTCCTGGAACAGCCTTTTGTGGAAAGCAATGAAGAAGTATCTCGCCCCATTTGCAGGAGGTTATACTGTAGAAATTTATCTGGGCACAAACTGGAATGTTCAATGTCTGGGCACATCTTGCAGTCGTGTTTACAAGAATGAATAACTGGGAACACTGGACAAATAATGTTTGGTCTGTAAAATGAAATGCCTATGGCAGTTTGAAAGAGCATGCATGAGAACTCTTATATTACCATCTAAACAGATGTCCAATAAGATGTAAACCATCAGCGTGTGATCTCAGAAAGAATTAAATATGCATTTTTACTTTTATAAATAAATAATAGTTGCACATAATAAAGAATTTAAAAGGTGCAGAAAGTTTGTGTTGAAAAGATGGCTTCCACACTGCTCTGGCTCTGCGTTCCTCTCCTCGTGGGTAACCAAGGTTACCGGTTTCTTTTTTTATCCCTTTAGAAATATTTTGCGCATATATCAGAAAATGGATACATGTGCAGACACACTCCTACATATATAAATGTGTATTTTTATCCCCTTTGTATAGAAACGCTGCCTTACTATATACAGTGTGCTGGCCTTTCCTTTTCTCCACCTAGACGTTTAACTGCAATCTCTCCACATTGTATATAAACAACTAATTCTTTTTATGGCTACATAATATTTCCTTGTGTAGATACAGAAAAAGAATTATATCTAAAATCAGTACTTTTAGTTTATCCACAGTTCTCTATGGAAAGTATCCTCGAACGCTGAGGGTTTTGATTTTTGGTTTTTTGATATTGCCAAAAAATAGTCATGGCCTCTACATGACTGTGCTTTTCAGTTCTTATTTCTGTAGCTACACCAACCCAAGACTCCTCATAGACCGCACTCAGTCCACTCGCAGACCGCACTCAGTCCACTCGCAGACCGCACTCAGTCCACTCGTAGACCGCACTCAGTCCACTCGCAGACCGCACTCAGTCCGCTTGTAGACCGCACTTCACTCAGGCTCCTGTGAGCCATCTTCTTGGCTAGACCTTAAACTTAGTCCATATTCCTTGGCCTGCCCATCCCAAACTTAGCTTAGTGTGACACCTCCAGCCCTTGCGATCTGATCAACTTCCTCCTCTCCAACCTTTGGTGTTTACAGCCTTGACCTGGCTTGCTAGGTCAGGTTAGCTAGGATCACACTACCTTTGGAGCCCTCTTAGGATTTTCCCACTCCCTGAGCCCTCACCCTGCCCCTTAGTTACTAAATCCCCCCCCGACTTTCTATTGTAATTGAGCCCCATTTTTCTCATCCTGTAATATCCCCGCTGCAATCACCCTGCACGGTCTTCATTACTGTTTCAGAGCAACCTGCCTTTAATGCCTCTTCAAGTTCCCTGAAACTCTTCTTACCCCGGTCTTTTTTTTTTATGTTCACTCCATGGATTTCTTCTTACACACTAGGCCACCCCTCTGCTGACTCCCACCCTGATATCACATGACAGAATTTTTCAAAGCTTTAACCAAGTCTTTTTTTTTTTATTCTTCTCTGGGTAGTGATCTCTGTCATAAAGAATTATCCAACAAATCATTGGCCTGTGGATGGTCATCCCTACACCAGGGCCTCCGCCTTGGGTTCCACCTGTCTATGAGGTTATCTACATGAATTTCTCAAAGGGAGCAGTGAATTTTCCTGTCGGCTGCTCTGTTGCATGGACCATTCAAGAAGGAGTCACCTCAGAATGTAATTTGGGCACTTAAGAAAATGCTCAGTATCCTTAGTCATCAAAGAAATGCAAATCAAAACAACTCTAAGATTCCATCTTACACCTGTAAGAATGGCCAAGATCAAAAACACTGATGACAACTTATGCTGGAGAGGTTGTGGGGAAAAGGGAACACTTCTGCATTGCTGGTGGGAATGCAAGCTGGTACAGCCCCTTTGGATGTCAGTGTGGTGAATTCTCAGAAAATTAGGAAGCAACCTTTCTCAAGACCCAATAATACCATTTTTGGGTATATACCCAAAGGATGCTCAATCGTGCCACAAGGACATGTGCTCAACTATGTTCATAGCAGCTTTGTTTGTCATAGCCAGAACCTGAGAACAACCTAAATGCCCCTCGACCAAAGAATGGACAAGAAAAATGTACTACATTTACACAATGGAGTACTACACAGCAGAAAAAAATAACAACAGCTTGAATTTTGCAGGAAAATGGATGGAGCTAGAAAACATTATTTTGAGTGAGGTAACCCAGACCCAGAAAGACAATTATCACATGTACTCACTCATAGGTGGTTTTTAAACATAAAGCAAAGAAAACCAGCCTACAAACTGTAATTCCAGAGAACTTAGACAACAATGAGGACACTAAGAGAGACTTACATAGATCTAATCTACATGGGAAGTATAAAAAGACAAGATCTCCTGAGTAAATTGGGAGCTGTGGGGACCTCGGGGGAGGGTTGAAGGGAGGAGGGAAGCAGAGAAAAATGTAGAGCTCAATAAAATCAATAAAAAAAACTTTATAGAAAAAAAAAAACCTGTGCTGTTGCAATAGGACAGATCATCACATCTGCCTTAGACAAAGACTTCTCCCTTTACCCAAATTTACCCGTCTTTGGGAATCAGGCATTTTATTTTATGTGAGCTCCTCTGGGTGGGAGAAACTTCAAACACGTCATTGACTACTGATCTCTGTGAATAAAAGAGATAAGGGGAGAGAGATACTTTGGGCTCTAGTCTTGGAGCCATACTTTCTTGTCAGGAGAAATAATCATGTTTTATGAATAGTCATGCTCCTAAAGACTGTAGTCTCCTATTTAAAGGAGAAAGGATCGCCTGAGTTGAAAATGTTTCTTCAGCTCGTCTAGAGCACCTCTTAAATTTTTTACATTGTATCAAAATCCAAAATTCTTAACATATGCATTAAATTCAAACATTTATAGGGTATGTCAAACTTTTCTCAACATCTTATAAGCAGTTACAAACACGATCAGGTCAATACCATAATTAACAATAAATCTACAATTAAACATGTCACAATTTTCTTTAATTCACATTACTCAAAAGACAGGGAAAGCTTTTCCAATGGGTGAGAGTCCAGTGACATTGCTGTTATCCAATACCAGCTCCAGTCTCTGAGGAGCAGCTGTCCCGTCTTATCATTCCTTATTTTGAGTCTTTCTTTCCCTAAGGAGAAAGCTTAGGTCTTAGTTCTCAAGTCCAATATTTTAATGAAAATGAGTTCTGTGTCCCAGAGATTAAAACAGTCAAATATTCAGCCTGCATTTCAGCTCCAAAGCAAACAGAATTCAGACTGCAGAAAACTGTAGTCATCACCCAGCAGGGCCCCTGGGTGTGTGTGTCCCGAGTGTAGGGAAGCAGCTCAGCGCCTGTCCCTCAGAGCAGCGTGGCACCCAGCAGGGCCTCTGGGTGTGTGTGTCCCGAGTGTAGGGAAGCAGCTCAGCGCCTGTCCCTCAGAGCAGCATGGCACCCTGCAGCACAGAGTGGTGGCCCCAGGTCCCCAGACTAGGTACTCCTCTCTGTGGGGGTGGGGAGGACTGGACCAGGAACACCTCTCCTACTCCTTTCCTTCTGACCCCTCTATGGGGGCTTTATCAGCTATGATGTCATCGGGGCTGCCCCTCCTGTGTTGTCTATGCAGTCATCTCATCCAGCTTTATTTTCTTTCTGTGAAAAAAAGCACAAACACATCCTTGACCCCAAATTAATACAGGATAGGTCTTTTTATAATTTATTGCAAGAGCTTTTTTTTTTTTTTTAACCTTGTTTTGGCAAAGGTCACCTTGGTGCCATCATGTCAGATCTGTCTGCAGCAGATCTGTCTGCAACTTTTATCTTTTTAAGTTGTTTTTAAGAAGCCATGGCACACTCCACATTTTTTTTTTATTATTAACCATATATGTAGTCCTTTTATGGGGAGAGCCATTTGTTAAATTTTAGTATAACATCCTTTAAGGGATCTTTAGCTATAACATTAGCAAAATATAGTCATGCGAATTGCAGCAATGATCATCTGGGGAAAGACCATTACTCTGGCTTTTTAATTGAGCAAACACAATGGCCCAAGAATCAGTATTTAAAATTATTATTTAATCTTTTGCTTAGTATAAGAAACATTGATCATAGTCAATTTTCTGATAAACTATCTCCTAGATTTCATCCTGTTCTTCTATAATAGACAGATTGCTGTTTTAAATTACAAGTTTAATATCTTAACTGGCAAAATGGGAAGGTGCAGCTATAAAAAGCATTTTTTTTATAAAACTGTTGTAGAATAAATTTTGTACTTAATACATATACTTGCCATGGCTGAATTATAATTAATATTCTTTATTTGCTGGTTGTTGTATATTCTATCTGTTTGAGTACCTGTTTGGCAGCTTCTATAAGCTCTCTACTGGAAATTGGCTCATTGCTCTCTTTAATAATTTTACTTTGTAGCTCAAGATCTCCCATAAAAATATTATAACTAAGGCCTTAACCATTGTATATCTACTTAAAAGTTTGTAAACTATCCTTCTCTTAAATTTCAAGTCTGCCTAGCTGATAGGAAAATGGAAAAAGAGAGCATTTCCAACTAATGATGCTGGCCTAATTAGACATCAGCATGTAGAATGACAACAGATCCATATTCATCTCTATGCATGAAATTGAAATCCAAATGAATCAAAGACCTCAACATAAAACCAACCACATTGAACTTCACAGATGAAAAAGTTAGAAGTACACTTGAATACATTGGCACATCTCAAGCACAGCCTCAGTGGCACAGACATTTAGAGAAATATTTAATAAATGAGATCTCCTGTACTGAGAAGCTTCTGTATAGCAATAAGTCTGTATAACAAATAGTCAACAAGACACACTATCAGCCTATAGAGTGGGAAAAGATCTTTACTTATCACTAATCCATTCCAAAAACATACGAAGAACTCAGGAAATTAGTCATCAAAAGAACAAATAATCCAATAAAAATATATGGTACAGACCTAAACTAAAAACTCTTAACAGATGATCTTAAAATGACTGAAAGATATTTTTAAAATGCTCAAACATAACATCCTTAACCATTAGAGAAATGCAAATCAAAACTCTGAGATTCCATCTTATCCCTGTAAGAATGACCAAGATTGAAGACACTGTTGACAATTTATGCTGAAGAGAATGTGGGGTAAAGAAAACACTCCTCCACTGCTGTTGGAAGTGCAAATTGTCACAGCTGCTTTGGATCCTAGTACGGTGATTTTTTTTTTTTTAGAAAATTAGGCAACAAACTATCTTAAAACTCATCAAAACCACTTTTGGGGCTAAACACAAAAGATGCTTGACCATACCATAAGGGCATGTGCTCAACTATGTTCACAGCAGAATTATTTTGTCATAGACAGAATCTGAACACAATCCTAAATGCACCTCTTCTACATATATGATAAAGGAGAGCTATCATCCTTTACAATAGCCATAAATACCATAACATATCTTGGAGTAACTCTAACCAAACAAGTGGGAAAATCTGCATATGATAAGAACTTTAAATCTTTGAAGAAAATGAAGACATCAGAAAATGGGAAGATCTATTACCAACATAGCAAAAATGACAATCTTACTGAAAGCAACCTACAGAGTCAATGCAAATGCCCATTAAAATTACAGCAAAATTCTTCACAGACCTTGAAAGAACAATCCTCAACTTCATGTGGAGAAACAAAACTCAGGTTAGCCAAAACAATCCAAAAATCCTGTACAATCATGGAACTTTGGAATGCCTCACAATCTCTGACTTCACAACAGAGCCACAGTACTGAAAACAGATCGAGGATCAGAGGAACCGACATCACCTGCCTACAAACAGCAGAGGAACTGACATCACCTGCCTACAAACAGCGGGTTTTTGACAAAGAAGCAAAACTGTGAAAAGGAAAAGAGAAGAATATTTAACCTGCTCACTTATTCTTTACAGACCTTTAACTGTTTTGAAACTGCAGTTCCCTGAGGCTACCTACCTTTTTTTTTTTTTTTTTTTTTTTTCAAATTTGGCTGTCAGCTTCTAGCTGGCTTTGTCCTTCTGGGTCCTAGGGACCGGGTGGTGCGGGCCATGCTTTTTAAGTTAAAAAGTCCCATCAAAGGTCAGTGGCTGATACATTTACAGGCTCTCTGGTGTCTGCCATTGTAGCTGCTTTAAGAACGTGTAGCCATGCCAATTCTTACTATCTTTTTTATTCTAACTTGTAATCATAAAATTAGGAGAATTCCTGAATCCTCTCCTCTGTTCTATTGGCCAGGTCTGGGCTGTTGACTGTGTGGAGTTAAATTTGGTCTCCAAACTTACTCTGTCTCCTGCTTGCCTTTCACCCACAGGTGGATTAGATTCAGCTGGCTATGGTGGCTGTGCTTGGTGCCTCAATCTCAGTGGTAACTTATGCAATTTTTGAGCCAAATACCATTTTTTCTTCACTTTTCCTACCCATTTAGCAGTGATAAAAGTTGTATCATGCTTATAGATCTTAAATATCTCTACCTTTGTTTCTCCTCCACTGTAACTTCCTTTAGCTATCAACGTACATAACTGAATACACTTTCTTTTTTTAATTTTTTAAATATTTATTTATTTATTATGTATACAACATTCTGTCTGCATGTATGTCTGCAGGCCAGAAGAGGGCACCAGACCTCATTACAGATAGTTGTGAGTCACCATGTGGTTGCTGGGAATTGAACTCAGGACCTTTAGAAGAGCAGGTAATGCTCTTAACCACGGGGCCATCTCTCTAGCCCTGAATACACTTTCTTTATCCCATATATATAACTTATTTTTTAAAAATATTTATTTATTTATTTATTGTGTATTCAATATTCTGTCTGTGTGTATGTCTGCAGGCCAGAAGAGGGCACCAGACATCATTACAGATGGTTGTGAGCCACCATGTGGTTGCCAGGAAATGAACTCAGTTCCTTTGGAAGAGCAGGCAATGCTCTTAACCACTGAGCCATCTCTCCAGCCCCTATATATAACTTATTATTTACAATTTTTTACTCCTGATTTAAATTTCCCATTTCTCTATTCTTTAAATTCTCTATTTCTGAGCGTTCATTACTCACATATCCACCTATGCTACAATTTTTTCTCATGGGTTCCTCGTGTTCTCCTTCATACATCTGGTCACTTCTCCCGTGTTTTTCAGGGTTTGTGGATCAGTCCCACGTTGGGTGCCATTATGACATGGTCCGGTGCCAGACCAGATCATAAATTATTTCTCCGGACCAGAGTGAGAGGTGTGGGATTAAAGATACAATTTACATGGCTTTATTGGGAGGAAGATTCTCAGTCATCCCTCATGAAATCCTGAGTTCACATCCTGAAAATTCCTTACATTTATCTCCAAACAGCTTTTATATCAAAAAGTAAACTGAGGGTAAATTTATTAGCATTCTGTTTCCTAGGTAACCAGGTGAATGACTCTAGTCACGTTTACATCTTCCTATGCCCTCTCTCATGTCTTCCATCTTCCTGCTCCATATGCCAGCTCTGTCATGTAGGCTGAATTAGCATCTCTATCCCAGGCATCCTCCAAATTACAAAGAAGGAGCAGAACAACATTAGCATATCCTGACCCTGGCAGCAGCCTATCTGTAAATGCTAGGTGACCACTTCCTTTGTGGCAGGTGCAAACTGTGGTCTGGAAGTCTGGTTGCCATTCAGTGTAGAAACATGGGCCTACAACCGGTCCAGGTTCTTAAAAAATATCGGTGTTGTGAAAGACAAGAAAATCTCAGGGATGGGTACTCAATTAAAAGAGGCCCTGAGAAACTCTAAAAGCCAATCCTGGGACTCCTGGAGATATATGGCATGGACTCTATGTTAGACAGCAGTCATGTATCAGTGCTAAATGTCTTCAGTTTGAGAATGCTGTCTTGTTCATCTAAATGCATGTCTTTGTTCTTAACAGATTCACATTTGCAGTAGTAACTTTTCTTGGTGCTCTGACAAATATTTAATAAGAATGGAGGTTTATTTTAGCTCACAGTTTGAGGGTTTACTCCTTCATGGTGGAAAAGGCACAGTGGCCTGGGGTGTGAGGGGGCTGGGGTGCGAGGGCCTGGGGTGTGAGGGGGCCAGGGTGTGAGGGCCTGGGGTGTGAGGAGGCTGGAGTGTGAGGGGGCTGGGGTGTGAGGGCCTGGGGTGTGAGGGGGCTGGAGTGTGAGGGCCTGGGGTATGAGGAGGCTGGGGTGTAAGGGGGCTGGGGTGTGAGGGCCTAGGGTGTGAGGCGCCTGGGGAGTGATGTAGCTGGTCATATTGCAGGAAGCAGAGAATGCCGGTGCTCCTCTTTCCCCTTTCTAATGGAGACACCAGTCCATGAAGGGCCGCCATTCACATGTAAGGTGGGCCTTCCCATCTTAACCCAGTCTAGCAAATCCCTCACTTACCAGTGCAGAGCCTCATCTCTGAGATGATTCTAGACCCTGTCAAGCTGACAATCAGTGTTAACTATGGCAATGTAGAAGTGTTCAGGAATAAAAAAGTCTCATAAAAAATGCAACTTATTTTTAAATAGTTCTGAAAGGAAAAATGTGTATGTATGTCTGTAGAGTGCTGTATCAAGAGACAGAAAGAGATGCTAAGAGAACAGATACCATACTTAGCATTCACGTATGTACATGATACATACATGCACGTGTACATCTATGCACAAACACAGCCACCTGATTTTTTTGACAAAGATGCAAAAGACAGACATTAGAGAAAAGCATCTTCAACAAACGGTGCCGGGAAATCTGGCAGCTACCTGGAGAAGAATGAAACCAAGTCACTGTTTCCTACCCTGCACAAAAATCAACTTCAAATGGATAGATGACTTCAACACAAGACCCGAAAGGCTGAAAGTGCTAGAGAAAAGCGGGGGGGGGGGGCAGTTTAAGATCTCAGCATAGGTGAATATTTTCTGAATAGAACGCCTGCCCACTCAGGAAATAAGGCCAGGAGTTGACAAATAGGAACTCATGAAGTGAAAAAGCAGAAGAATGCAGTGTGAAAGTATGAAAGAATGAGATAGGACATTTGTAGTGGTTTCAATGAAGATGGCCCCCATAGGCTCAGAGTGTAGCACTGTTAGGTGTGTCTTTGTTGAAGTAGGTCTGTCCTTATTGGAGGAAGTGTGTCACTGGGGGTAGGCTTTGAGGTTTGCCTGGTGATCCAGACATAGAACTCTCAGCTCCTTCTCCAGCACCAAGTCTGCCTGCTTTCCACTGTGGGTCCCCACCATCATTATAATGAACTAAACCTCTTCACCTATCAGCCAGCCCCAGAGACGTGTTTAACTTTATCATTGTTGGCATGGTCATGGCGTCTCTTCCTAGCAATAGAACAATGACTAAGACAACATTGAATCAAGTTCTCAAAAGAAAAAATACAAATGGCCAATAAGCATTTCTTAAAAACGTTCAACATCCTTAGCGATCAAGGAAAGGCAAGTGAAAATGGCATCCCCGTCAGGGTGGCGATCAGGACAGACGGCAATCGATGTTGGCGAGGATGTGGGGAAAGGGAACCTTAATGAACTGCTGGGGAGACTGCAAACTGATACAGCCACTATGAAAACCTATGTGGAGGTTCCTTAAAAACCTAAAAACAGAAGGGTCACGTGCTGCCGCTGTACCACGGTGGGTCTGTTCCCACTACAGAGACACTTGCTCAGTCAGTTCCATTGCTGCTCTTCTCACAGAAGCTAGAAAACGGAGTCAGGCTAGATGTCCGTCAAGTGGTGCCTGAGCAGTGGAAATATGCGCACATACCATAGGACTCTGCTCAGCTGCAGTGAAGAACGGAAGGATGAAATCGGCAGGAAAAGGGATGGAATGTGGGAATAGTACCGAAAGTGTGGTCATTCCGGCCCACGAAATAAACACTGCATGTTCTCTCTCAGATGCAAATCCTGGCTTTGGATTTTGTGAGATTTGTGTGTTTTCTTTTTATATATATATATGTGTGTGTGTGTGTGTGTATTTATTTATTTATTATGTATACAATATTCTTTCTGTGTGTATGCCTGCAGGCCAGAAGAGGGCACCAGACCCCATTACAGATGGTTGTGAGCCACCATGTGGTTGCTGGGAATTGAACTCAGGACCTTTGGAAGAGCAGGCAATGCTCTTAACCACTGAGCCATCTCTCCAGCCCCATTTGTGTGTTTTCTTCAAACTGCAAAGATCAGGAACTAGAAAGAGGCCATGAGAGGCAGAGGGGAAGAGGTGTTGAGGGAGAATGGTCCTAGTCGGGCACATGACAGCAGAGGCCGGGAATGCTGGGGTGGCCGGCAATAGGAGATGGAGGAGAGGAAGGGATGGGGGAGGGTTAACAAAAACTAAGGCTGCGTGGAAAGCTTTTTGGAAACCTGTAAGTTAATTTTTTTCAAAAAAAAGGGGGGGGCTAGAGAGATGGCTCAGCGGTTAAGAGCACTGGCTACTCTTCTAGAAGACCTCAGTTCAATTCCCACAGCATCCATAGGGCCACTCACAACCATCTGTAACTCCAGTTCCAGGGGCTCCATTGCCCTCTTCTGGCCTCCACAGGTACTAGGCATTCACATGGCACACACACATACATGCAGGCAAAACATCCAAACACATAAAAAAAAAATTTAAAACAGGCGGTGGTGGCACACGCCTTTAATCCCAGCACTTGGGAGGCAGAGACAAGTGTATCTCTGTGAGTTCGAGGCCAATCTGGTCTACAAGAGCTAGTTCCAAGTCAGGCTCCAAAACTGCAGAAATTATATCTATCTATCTATATCTATCTATGTATCTATCTCTCTCTCTCTCTGTCTGTCTGTCTGTCTGTCTATCTATCTATCTATCTATCTATCTACACACACACACACATATATATACACACACGCACACACACACATATATACACACACACACATATACACACATGTATATACAACACACACACACATATACACACACACACACATACTCTCACACACACACACACACACACACACACACACACACACACACCCCTTTGGAAAGGAGTTTGAACAGAATGAGAGAATAATACTGCTCCCAGAAAGCATGCATTTTTAAGTTTAAAAAAAAAATCCCAGAGTCAGCCATGGGATGCAAAATAAAATAAAACAAAAATAAGGTCACCTTTATTATTTTTGTTGCTGTTTTCCCCCTAGAGGTCTCTAATGCATATTCGAAGCCTGGCCCCCACAGTTACAGCAGAAGTGAGATGGTTTCATTCAATTTTGCTGTCAGTCTTACCTGCTCAAGTCATCTTCACTTTGGATTTTCTCCTTCATGCCAATCCTGCATCCCATAGAGTGAGCCGTTGGCTCAGTGGAGGCCCTGTAGCTTGCATCCCATACCCAGAGAGAGCTGGAATATAGAGTGTACTTAGTGCGTTATGGAGGGGAAAGAGAAGGGGGAAGCAGGAAGGGAAGGTGAGGAGAGAGAGAGAGAGAGAGAGAGAGAGAGAGAGAGAGAGAGAGAGAGAGAGAAGCATGAGAAGCGGAAGGCGGGGACTGGAGAGGAGGTTGGGAGTGGGCGGGGCTTGTCTCTTAAAGGGACAGGGTACCCAGGTGACAGGGCAGGCCTGCAGATTACAGTGGTTACATTATATTTTCCAAGTGAGCGATTACAGTGAACACAAGTAAAACACAGCTTGCTTCTCATTTTCCTTACATGAGTAAACATTTTATGTGTTACAAGTGAAAACCAAATTATTCCCAAAGACCCACACACATTCATGTCTAAACGGCTTGCTACAGATTAACAAAGTGTAAGCAAGCAAGGTGTTTTTCCCAGCCAGTTCTTTTACTGGCAGGTGGCCTTTTCCTGTTACAAAGAAAGAATCAATAGTTTTATTATTTATCTCAAAGGGTAATATTATAAAAATTCTTAAAATAATCACAAATCTAAACTTTCATGTATGGAAAACAGTCATCTCTACTTTAAATCCTCAGGGTGCATAAACACTCATCGACAACTTTTTATTAAATCATATCAGAAAGTTGAGGGCAGAAATGGATTCAAGGAATTAATCATCACCTTTGATCACCAACCTATCCCAGCAAGAAAGGCAAGTCAGCTAGTAATAACCAGGCTACCTTTGCTTTGTTCCATGACCTCAACAAGTCCCTTGCTCAACTATTAAATGTGTGCCTCTCTAAACTTTAAATGGTTCTGCAAGATTTTCTACATGAGAGCCGTTAACAAAAACACCTTAACCTAACCTTACTAACAATCTGCATGTTTAAATTCTTTCTAAGGGTGGTGGTTTTGAGTCATTAATCTGCCCCAGCAGCAATGATTGGAAAGTCAATCACTATTATTGTCAGTACCAGTAACACTGCCCAGTGAGAGACTAGATGCCCCTGAGAGTTTTCAAACAACCTGTAGATCCTGAGTGACGGGTGACTGCGAGGGCAATAAACAGAGCTGTGCTCGATAACAGTGTGAGGTCCTCAGAACAGGTAGTCACGGCAGGTAGGGGGACGGTTCTGCCTCACCAGGGCTCACCCAGCCCGTTTATAAAGGTCACATTCCATGAGTTCCAAACTGCTGGCTGTTCCTCTCACGTGGTCCCAACCCTTCAGCCTGACCCATTTTCATAGTACACATCTTCTGACCAGGATCCTTGAGAGACCCTTGGTTCGTAGAGGGGACACTTTCTTTTAATGTTTCTTCAAGGAAGTATTAAATGATACCAAATGAAATCACCTCCAAACAAGGTTTGTGCTGTTTCTACACCATGGTGAATCCCGGCAAGAGTAAGTCTGCCTTTTGTTTTTGTTTTGAGACAGGGTCTCCTAAATCCTAGACTGGCCTCCAACGAAATATGATTCTTAGGATGACCTTGAACTTCTCATCACCCAGTCTCCCCTCCACCCCCAGTGGCTGGGAGCTGGGGATCAAACAGGCTTTGTACATCTATGCAAGCACTCTACTGAAATCAGCCCTGGCCCCTGCTTACTGCTTTAAAACGCATTAATGTCATTGTCCTGGTACTATCCAACAGCCCTGGAGAGAGAACAAGGGTCCACGCCAATCAAATACTGACTTGGTCCCCTAGCTCCTTTGGGGGAGTTGCTCTCTCCTTGTCCAAATTAACTTTAGTTCCTTATCTTTCTATCATATGCTCTTCCTTTTCAATATCTAGAATGTTTGACAAGGAAAAAATAAGAGATTAACTGCCTAGATCTCAAAGCAGGGACAGCAGCTCCCAGCTGGGCCCCATCATTTGTATCCAAGCCCTCAATGCAAACAGAGGCCTCAAACTAACATATCCAGTATTTAAAAGCAATACAGTAACAAACTGCCAAGAGAAATGTGTGCTAGCCTCCTGCTGCGGTAAATATAATTTCTCATGAACGAAACTGAAAAATATATAAGACTTTGGCTTTTACATGATGAAAATTGGCAACTTATTAAAATGTTTATGCTTAACGTTTGCTGTCCAGACCTGTGAGGTTTGTGATGGTTGAATGAGTAATAAAATAGACACACTAGAACTCGCAATATTTATTTCATTAAGGGATTTTTTTTTTTTACCTTCATTTCAACAAGACCGCTTAACGTTTTAGAAGAATCAACACCTTCATGTAATTTGTGAAGAAACGAGAAAGTGGGGGTTTGGTAGTGTTGGGATTGGGAAATAGTAAAGCTCCCATGGCCTTTGTGGTGGCATATCTGTCTGTTGGGACTGGGAGATGCTGCTGCTGCTTTAGGACACTGAGCTGGCGGCTCTTCAAAGATTTAAACATGGATGAGGAAAGGCTGATGAATGGGTATTAAGCTACAGTTAGACAGGAGCAACATTCTGGTGTGCTAGTGCATGGTAATACATGTACGATATTTCAAAAGGCTAGACAGAAGGATTTTTAGGAGTTTTTGTCATAGAGCAATGAAAAAAATCATTGAGGAGCTAGATATGCTTTATCTTATTTAAATACTTTGCAATATACATATGTATAACAACTTCACAGAGTGCTCTCCTAGTTTGTACAAATTTTATGGTTTTGTGTATTAGTGAAAAAGGAAAATGAACAAAATCATATTTTTTATTTAAGTTTGGGAATTACGTAAACAGGCGAAATCCCTGCCCTAGTGGAGGTGATGGGTTGGAAGAGAGAGTGAGGACCGGCAGGACTCAAGCCCTGAGCCAGCTGTGCTGTCTGGCATCCCATTGGGCAGGATACTGCCTCTTCCATCATACTCTGGGAACGAAATGTATGACCCTGTGGTGGAAGACTCTGCTGAGCCAGGCTTGTGGCTTCTGCCAAGAGTTAGTTCCTGTATGTCATGCAGGGAACGGAGCCTCATTACTGGGGCGCCGGCTCCCCCAGTCCCAGGCATACTTACCATAGTAGCCACCCTGTGTTGGCATCAATGGGTCTCACCTTTGCCATCCTCTCTTCACGTTCTAGTACTGTTGTTTTTTTCTTATCAACCCACTCTGGGCACACAACTGTGGCCCTTGAAACCAAACTATCACGTTTGCTTTCTGAACCATCACTGGTTTTGCAGTGATAAATCTTTTGTAATAAAGCTCAGACACTGCCCAACTAATACACTGAGAGTTGAGATATTCAACAAATCTGTAAAAGCACTGAGAGGCAGAGGCAGGAGGAACATTTCAAGTTGAGGCCAGAGTGGTCTACATAGCTCTAGGTCAGCTGGGGCTACAGAGCAAGACTCTCTCTCTCTCTCTCTCTCTCTCTCTCTCTCTCTCTCTCACACACACACACACACACATACACACACACACACACACACACACACACACACATCTCAGAGCTTTTAGAGTGTCCCCTCTCAGCTCCTCCTGGGCCATTTGTCTTTGTAAATTAATTTGGTCACTAGGCCTGATGCTTTGTTGTGTCACAACTTGGCCAAATTGAACTGTACTCCCAAGAATTCTATCAGGGGCTGATCAGGGGCCTCTGTTGACAGTAGGTAGGACATTCATCAGGATCATGCCCATGACAGCCTTGGTGAGAGTCAGGCCATCCTATACAGACTCCATTGCTTCCCCTATGGCCAGGACATCTCTCAGGCCACCTTTCCACATAGGTTCTGTCCACCAATCCATGGGCCCAACTGAGCATTGCCACCAATTGCAAAAATCGCTCCTTGTATTTTGTTCATACCTGACAGTTAAACGGTTATGTGACTGGAATCATTACCTCTGGATCTTTACAATCCTCTATACTAGGACCAAAGGGACAGGGACTCCCCCGGGGACAGGGAATAACTGTGTATTGGCATCTCAGTGGAAGAGGTAGAGCTTCCTTGTGGTCTGTCACCTCGTAACAGCTCTTATTCCGGGACAGAGAAGATGTGGGAGGAGTCTTCCTGTCATGCAATGTTCTAGTGTATTTGCAGTCCCACGATGTGGCTGCAGTATGATCACAGGTTTAGTCTGGGGTCCCAGTTGACCCCCGTGAGAGGGCCTCTGGCCCAAACTCTGTCTATTGACTCCACAGCTCATCTTTTTCCAGTGGGCCATGGGAGAACTTCTGCTCTCCACCACGCATCCTTAAGATTCAGAATCCACAACGTAGCTACTAACGCATGAACACAGGCTTTGGCAAAGCCACCCTGGACTGGTGAGATGACTCAGCTGGGGTCCCTGCTGCCAAGCCTGACAACCTGAGCTCAATCCCCGAGACCCAGATGGTGGAAGGGCAGAACTGACTCTTGAAAGTTGTCCTCCATGACTGCATGCGAACACATATACACATAAATGAATGCTATAAAAGTTTTTAAGATTTACTTTGTTAGTTATGTGTACTTGTATCCGTGTATTGGTATGTGCATGTAAGTGCACATACCTAGGAATGCCAGGAGAGGGCAGCAGATCCCTTTGAGCTAGAGTTACAGGCAGCTACGAGCCTCTTGGTGTGAGAATGCTGGCTGGTCATAGGTCAACTGGACATACAAACTTCCAGAACTATTTGGAAGGAGGGAGGCTCGATTGAGAAAATGCCTCCATAAGATCCGGCTATAAAGCATTTTCTCAATCAGTGATTGATGGGGGAGGGTCCAGCCTACAGTGAGTGGTGCCATCCCTGGGCTGGTGGTCCTGGTTTTGAAGCAGCCTGAGCAAAGCCCTGGAAGCAGCACCCCTCCATGGTCTCTGCATCGGCTCCTGTGTCCAGGTTCCTGCCCTGTTTGAGCTCCTGCCCTGACTTCCTTTGGTGATGAGCAGTGCTGTGGGCGTGTAAACTGATTAACCCTTTCCTCCTTCAGTTTGCATTTTGTTCACGGTGTTTTATCACAGCAACAGAGACCCTCACTCGGACAGTAGGCGATGAGTGACTCCTCTCATGAGTTCAGTAACTTGGATCCTCTGAAAGAGCAGCAGGTGCTTTTAACTGCTGAGCCATCTCTCCAGCGCCTTAAACAAAGAAAAGAAACAACAGTAATAAAATAATTAAGAAGGTGAGTCCTGATTCCTG